CTTGACCATTATCCATAACAACTTGTAACCAACATCTTAAACAAAGAAGAACATACATAATGCATTTTTGGGAATGTGGGTGTAGTTTTCCAGGCTACTTCCTGCTGATTGGGTGTACTGAGATCTTATGGAAACCTAAATAAATTTTGAAGTATGGTCAAGTCCTGACTAGAATATTCTGTGAAGCTTGATCACCTCAGTCAGCACTCTTAAGAATGTTCTGGATGTAGAACTCAGACATCTGGGTCATCTGATCCTATTGGATATTTCTCAAGGGATCTTCATTGATCAAACCTGATTTTTCATAGCCCAGAATGAATCCACAGCCTCTCATTTCCTGTGGAAACAAAAGCAAAACTTCTTATCCAAAGTAACATATCTTTTGACTTAAATTTTGAAGTCAAGTCATTTTCAAAACACATATATTGGATTAATCCAGCAAAATTTATAATCGAATCTCTTTTAGCAGCTGTTGCTCCTTCCTCAGCCATTAAACAATTCAAAGACAACAAATAACACAGATTATCTGTGTATTTTTCATCTTTACATGGCATTATTTTAAACTCAATTTCTTTTATTTTTAATTTTTGTTTTTATTGAGACAGGGATTCTTTGTATATTTCTGACTGTCCTGAAACACACTCTGTAGATCAGGCTGTCCTTGGACTCACAGAGATTTGCCTACCTCTGCTCCCACCAAGTGCTGGGGTTAAAGGTGTTTGTGTCCCCACACCCAACTTCTCTCTCTATCTCTGTCTCTCTGTCTCTCTCTCTCTCTGTCTCTCTCTCTCTCTCTCTCTCTCTCTCTCCCTTTATTTTAAGGACTTTATCCTCTTTCTTCTCTTTCTTTACTCTCCCAGGTCTACATATGTCATAAGCATCATTTAAGTGTTTGGTGGTGGGGCCTCTTAAAAGAACTGCAAGATTTTTGCAACTAAAGCTGAGTCAGAAAGACTCTCTTAAATGAGATGCACTGCCTCTAGCAAACAGAGCCCACCCAAGAAAGTGCTGCTACCAAGAAGCCATGTTTAACTCTGCTCTTTTGTGTCTAGTATTACTTCCCAAACTCTCTTAGGTTTCATGTGGATGTAGTTGTCCCTGTAGGCACCATTTTGTTGACAGAGGTTTCTGCTCCACCCAGTCCTGCAGCCATTTAGTCCCAAAGAAATACATAGAGATCTTTATTAATTATAAAATGGTTGGCCTAGTAGCTCAGGCTTCTTATTAACTCTTACATTCTATATTAAACCATAATTCTTGTCTGGGTTAGTCACATGGCTTGGTACCTTTTATCAGCGAGACATTCTCGTCTTGCTTCCTCTGTGTCTGGGTGACTACTGCAGGCTGAGCCTTTCCTCTTCCCAGAATTATCCTGTTCTCATTTATACTTCCTGCCTGGCTACTGGACAATCAACATTTTATTAAAGCAGTACAAGTGACAAATCTTTACAGGGTAGAAGACCATTGTCCCACAGCAACACTAAATACATAAAAATAAACAAATACCTTTTTAAAACCCAAGCAGATTCAGTTTGTGCAAAAGCCAACTATAGACCAGAGGAATAATTTTGAACTGAGCACCAAGTTTCAAAATTGGTAACAACTGGTTTGTATTGCCATCAGCAATGTTCAATAATATCAACCCTTTTCTAGGGAATAATTATGTTTTCAAAGTATTGGTCTGAATTTACCAATTTGCTTTATAGAGCAGGGACTAATGGAGAATTATCATCCCCATTTAGAGGTGATAAAGCAGAAATAGCTTGGTGATGTGAAAACATGAGCACACACACTCATGTGCTGACAGTCAGACCTCCAAGTTTGTCACAGATGAGTCTTGTGACTGAATTATTTGGGACCAATGTGTGCTAGCTCTTTCCTTTTCATTGACTAAGACAGGAAAAATATCTCCTTCTTGGCTTGCTAGTTATAAAGTTTTGATGAAAACTACATGGAAGAGCTACTCTAGGATGATTTTCTTCCCACAACGTAAAAATCTCATAGAGTTAGGTAAAGTCAGTGTTCATATTACACAACTTCTATTCTTTATCCGGAAGTGTATCCCCTCCCGCAGCCTGCCCTGCACAGTGGGTTGCTGCTCTCCTCACAGGCTGAGGTTGACTTTCTCCCTAAGTAGCTGCAGCCTGAGTATCTTAAGATGTCTTAGTCTTGATGGGTCAGGTTCTAAGTGACATGGATTCTGTCCAGGACCCTTGCTGGGGCTGGGAGACTAAACTACTAAACAAACAATTGCCAGTAACTACCATGGGAATTTTAATAGCAAAAACCTTCAATGTGGGTCACCTTGACCACAGCAATGAGCTTATCTTACATCAATTTGCCTGTGACCACTCAGTGCTTCTTGCCTCACCTCCTCACCTGTCAGTCCACTGTCTGCTACAGCTCCCAGAGAAAAATAAAAGGTTCATTTCTAATTCCCCACTTGTGACTGTCAGCAGGAAAACACAGCATTTTCTGATACTACTCTTGGAACAACTTTCTCTCCCCTGGGTCCTTAGATGAAAGTTAGCATGACATCATCATTTATTCTTAAGTATGGTTTCATAGAGAACCATAGTAGTAATCTACATAGGAATGGTTCAAGCTATTGATCTATAAATGTCAGAAACATAGTTAAAAGAAGCCAAATTAGGTTACTATAGGTCTTAGCTCTCATAGCTAGACACTATAGTTAATTAAGAAATAAAGTCAATTCAACAGAAAGCTATACACGTGCTTTTAAAAAATCTAATCCTTCAAAATAAGGCCAGTATAATTACATTTAGTTAAAATCTGTACACTGGATTTCCTCTTCTGAGAAAGAACAAATAAAAATCATGCACATGGTGACTACTTGTGCTTTTCATTCTCTCTCTCTCTCTCTCTCTCTCTCTCTCTCTCTCTCTCTCTCTCTGTGTGTGTGTGTGTGTGTGTGTGTGTGTGTGGGGCGTGTGCTTACCTGAGCCAACAAAGTTTAGAAATACCTAATTCTGAGCTTTAATAAAGATCAATGAGAGTAGATCAATTACAGCCTATAAGCATCCAGCACACCATGGGCAGAGAGTTATGGCCTATTTTCAGAGGAAGCAAAGAATTGGGTAAGTAAAGGACTTAGCTAAATAGAGGTCAGTTTATGCCACTTCAAGGAAATGTTCTGTGTTTACTGAATTAATCTCTGGAGTGCATTTCAAGAAAATTAAGAACTATAAGTTAACCATATCTATATTCCATTCAATACCAGTATTTCAAGTAAAGTGAGAGTTGGAGTCTCCATGATATTGTGTGTAGTGAGACAGAGACACGTGTTTAGGATGGCAGACCTAGGGCGTGACAGAACTTGTTTCCAGAGTTAGAACACAAGTTTGCTTCAGGGTCTATTCAAATATTTTTTCAAACAGAGAAATAGCCCTTCTTTGAATCTTTCCATAAGCTTTGTGATATATTAGGATGCATACACTATGACCCAAGACATCTGAGCCATAAAACCTAGAAAAGATGTTTTCATTCTGAAAACTGTCAAAGAAGGATTAACTCTATTTTGCCCCAGTCCACCCCTGCCCATTACCACTAGAGCTAGGATCTAGAACATCTGCTTTAAAATAAATTTCTTTTATCTTTAATCATTTGTATGTGTGTAGGTGGAGATATGCACATAAATGCATGTGGATGGGGGTATGCACATGAGTGTGTGTGCATGGGGGTGTGCACATGAGTGTGTATAAATGGGGGTGTGCACATGAGTGTGTGAATGGGGTTGTGCACATGAGTGTGTGTGTGAATGGGGGTGTGCACATGAGTGTTTGTGAATAGGGTTGCGAACATGAGTATGTGTGAATGGGCGTGTGAACATGAGTGTATATGAATGGGGGTATGAACATGAGTGTGCGTAAATGGGGGTGTACACATGAGTGTGTGTGAACGGGGCTGTGCATATGAGTGTGGGTAGGTGGGAGTGTACACATGAGTGTGTTGAGGTATGTGAAAATGAGTGTGTATGGGTGGGATGCACACATCAGTGAACATGACTGTCTGGGGGTGGGTGTGCACATGAGCATGTAGGGGTGTGTAGTGATTTAATTTGTATTTTAATAAATAAAGCTTGCTTGAAGTTCAGAGAGTAAAATAACTGCATTGATCAACCTTATAGATCAGGAAGTGATGACACACACCTTTAATTCCAGTAGCCAAAGTAGTTTGTTATAGAAACCAGACTGTAGTGGTTCATGCCTTTAATCCCAGCACTATAGAGGAATATAAGACAGGAAGAGACACACAGTCTCATTCTGAGATTCCCAGAGGCAGGATTGCCATTTTGGTCTAAGGTAGAGGTAAAAGCCAGTGACTGGTTGTTTTACTTTTCTGATCTTCAGGTTGAACCTCAATTCTGTCTTTGGGTTCTTATTAATCATGCTACAGGGGTGAGTGTGCACATGAGTGCAGGTGCCTGGCAGTGTGTCAGATATTCTGGAATCTGACTTACAGAAAGGTGTGAGCAGTCTAGAATGGGTGCTGGCAACTGAGCCTGGGTCCTCTATAAGAGCCATATACATGATTTGTAACTGCAGAGCCATCTCTCCAGCTCCTAGAAACTCTGATTTTAGTAGAAAAGTCTTAATCCCAAGGCAGGATTCCCTACCAGAATAGAGTTTAAATTATGTTCAGGTCAAACACAATATAACTCTTGTGAAAATCAGAGAAAATTGCTTTCTACTGCATTATTAGCTATGATTCCGTGGTATCAATAGTTGGAATACAGCCACCATCTAAGAAGTATTATACATTCAGTATCGGATTAAAACCCTAAGCATGTATGTATGAAGTTTGAACTATTTGTTTGCAAATAACACATTCTGATAACATTCAGCCTAGATTCTGTCTCTACCCTGGTCATTCTGGCGCTTATTATTTTGGGTCTTTTGTTTATACTTTACAATCTTCTTTTAAAACAGTGATATTTCACATGTCTAATGATTCTCATGCATCTTCTTTTGCTTCTGCAGGAGGGATTTTTGAAACTGTGGAAAATGAACCCGTTAATGTTGAAGAATTAGCTTTCAAGTTTGCAGTCACCAGTATTAACCGAAACCGAACCTTGATGCCTAACACCACATTAACCTATGACATCCAGAGAATTAATCTTTTTGATAGTTTTGAAGCCTCCCGGAGAGGTAACTATTTTTCCACTTTACGAAGCTTCTTCGGGTGATAAGTCTGCTACACAGGTCACCTTTTCACTGCTTGCCCTTTTTCGAAGTAGGCTTCTTAGTGCAAATGGGTTGTAAGAATCCCTGGTCCTCGATGTCACTGATCAATGCAATCTGGACTCACCTAACGGACACTGCCTAGCCCTGTTTTCTGGGCCTTTCTGATTAGCTTCTCCTTCAGTGCCCTCCACTCTATGATTAACTGGTTCAGCTGTGAATGGAAAATGTCAAACTTGATCTGTTTTTCCTTCCCGAAGCTAAGATACCACCATGAAATTGCACAATACAGTCAAATAAAACTTTGTGGAAGGTCACATCCACCAAGCATGTAAAAGTGCCCAGGACATATATACGTCAAGCCTGGGATCCGAAGAGGCTGCTACAAACAGCGGCCTTTATCTAACATCTATTCATTTTGTTGTTGTTGTTATTTTTGCACTTTTTGGCAAAATCATAAAAATATGAAGATTAAATCTGTGAGAACAAATCACAATTTGATTTTCATTTTTTTCTTCTGAACAGAAGACAAATACCTAAAAAGTAATTTATAAACAGGCTGCAAGCTTTGTCATGTGGGCTGAGTCTTAGGAAATGTAGGAGCTGGTTTAGATGTCCCCTGAGCACCCCCAGAGCTGTTGTCTGATGATCCCATGTACATGAAGCATGGCCTCTGGCTATGGCACTGCTGACTCATAAGGTTAAAGATTTTGTGGAAACAAAGGTTGCTGCTCATCTTGAGCCTTTAAAGAACCCTTTTCCTTCCAGAACACACTTTGCCTTTTTGCAGACACATCCATAACACGTGTCATCAATTCCTGTTTTTGGAGGTTCCCAAGTGACTGATAGGTAAAGGTTAACAGAAATGACCTAGATACCTCAGAGAACGTATTTGCCTGGAACACATGCCTTATGGCATTGCAGTGCTACTTACGAACACAACGTAAGTCTTTCTTCATCGAGTAGATGAAGATTAATACAATAATAATGTATCTACATATGCCATAATCTTAGTGCAATAACTCTGCTTTTAGAAGACTGCACATTGTGGTGTATGCCTATAATCCCAGCACTCTTTTAAAAAGACCAAGATGAATTTGGGCCAGACTCACACAGTTTTGAGGGCCACATAGCAAAACTCTGCCTCAAAAAAAAAAAAAAGATTCCTTATAGGACAAAGCTGCCTATTGACTCTCTCACTCTATATCTCTGTCTCTCTTTTTTCTGCATGTTCTCTCTCTATCTCTGTCTCTCTCTATCTCTGTCTCTCTCATATACTTTTGAACAATACTTTTAAGACAGTGACATTTAACAGCTTATCACTTAACTTCGAGCCACAAAAAAAAATTGTAAAAAACTGAACGCTGGCTAAGATAATCTGCATGCTCTCGTGCTCACACTTCATCTGGCTAATGAACACATACCCTCAAGTGAGCCTGGAGGACAGTGACAGCTCACACCTTCAGTGCATTGCCGAAGGCCGTGCATCCTCATAGCTAGTGCAGGAAGCCAGCACTCAGGGACACGGTGTCAGAAGCTTCCCTGAAGTGTCAGCATCGGCTGCCCCTCAGACGGCTGCAGCATAGATGCCAAAGTGGTCCCCGTTGTTCTCCCTAAACCATCTCCTAGAAACTTGCAGGAACATGTGGTGTTTGCTACTTAATCTTGTAAAACGACATAATTACAAAATCCCTAACACAAATTCCTTTATATGAATCTATTTATTTAATTTAGGTATTCAACTATTATCACTTGGCAATTCATCCAATGAATTCTAAAGTTCATTTCACAAAATTACAATTTAAATATAAAAGATGCATTTAAACCTATATTTAACATCCACTTACATATGATTACTGGACACTATTCTTCATGGTGTAAGGGGACAAACTAATCTTTCTGGAAGATAATTTGGTTAATATGTATCAAATAATTAAAAAATGTCAAGACCGTTTACTAGTAGAGAGTAAATTCCACTGCCTAGAATCTAGAATCAAAAAAGTAATTTAAGATGCAAAGAGAATCCAGAAGCACCTTGGGTGACCATAAAATGCAGAGAGAAAAAATATCAATACTGAAATATTACTTATAGTCAAAAATTGAAAGGAGTTTAAAATACTTAAATGCAGAAGAATGACTTCAATAAATGACACCATTCACACTCAACAGTCTGTTTTCCCGACAGCAACAATACACTCTTGAAGAGTTTGTACGACCTTAGGGAGACCATTGTTCTCTTTCATTCAATAAAGGCGTCAGTGTACCACATGATGCTTGACCAGCAATCCCCATCTTCAGCAATCCTGAAGCATCTGTAAGCATTATCTCACGTTGACAGACTAATGCAGAGCCTTCGGTCCTCACTGTATTATAAATACTCTAATTTTTTACAATGGATGTCTTTTTTCTTATAGCTAAGACATGTTAGAAAGAAAATTTTAAGCATGTGAGTTAATTTTGTTTGGCTCATAATTGAGAGAAGGACACCTGACCTTGACCTGGGGTCCCTCAAGCTCTAATTCAACTCTGTTCCTATCCAGCAGCCACGATTAAGTCTGTTGTGCATGAAATGAACGAGTAGACTCAAGTGTCTTCCAAAGATCTCTTTATGCCATGCCATTCCATTATACTGAAGTTAATTAGCTATCAGCCCTGCTTATATGGACTCTTTAGCAATATTTCAATTTTCTGAAATGTTTCAGAAGGATTGGAGTCAAAGCATTTTATGGTCACCCATGGGGGCTTCTGGATTCTCTGACCATACTAATCTCCCCATTGTCACCCTGCCATATGACAGAACTCAATTCATATGATACTCTCTTGACAAATGGTTTGCTAGTTAGCTCACAGAGTACTCAAGGGATCAAGCAAAAAATTTAGCCTTCATCTGATTGAAGGTAATGAACTGAGACCAGTAACTAAATTTTATTTTCAGGGAGTGGGCCCTGTGATTGGTTTCTGATTGGCTCTACATCTGCATTTATCAGAATCTTATTATCTAAAGTATATTGGAAGCTGGAAAGAGCAGATATCAAAACACAGATGGGAATTATAGGAGGTCTCTTGGAGTTGATTAGAGAAATCACTTAATGAAAACGTGAATTCATAGAACTCTCTTTCTCTCTCCCTCCCTTCCCTGCCCTCCTGCCCCATCCCCTTTCTTGTCTTTGGATATGATTAGCTTGCGACCAGCTGGCTCTTGGTGTGGCCGCCCTCTTTGGCCCTTCCCACAGCTCGTCTGTGAGTGCTGTGCAGTCCATTTGCAATGCTCTGGAAGTTCCACACATTCAGACTCGCTGGAAACACCCTTCTGTGGACAACAGAGACTTGTTTTATATTAACCTCTACCCAGATTATGCAGCTATCAGCAGGGCAGTCCTGGACCTGGTCCTCTATTACAACTGGAAAACAGTGACTGTGGTGTATGAAGACAGCACAGGTATGGGACTCACAAACCCTTCTTGGCCATGTTTCTTCTCACAGGCATGAGATTTGTCAGTGGTGTGTACAGAAATACTCTCTCCCATAAGCTAACTGAGAATTCTAAAGGAATTTTAGAATGCCATGTAGAGCGAATTTAACAAATTTAGCGAATTTAAAATGTTGGATTTTAAAAAATACATCATCTTATAGATATACATTGGGATCTCATTACAGTGCAAACTGTGGGATTTCATTAGTGCACCTCTACTGAGAGTGTAATTGCAATTGTAGTGACTTAATTCATGTCTAACAAAAAGAGTTATGCATATATCTATAAACAGTTACCACAATCAAACAAAACCAGACATTATGCCACTGCAGTGAACTATTTCCCGGGAAAGGGACTGTGAATCCCAAGGAAGAGCCCAGCACAAAGTTTTGGAGCTTGGTCTGTGGCTATAGGCAGTGCCGCAGTTATAGCTCCTCCTGTAGCCATCTCACAGCACACTCAATAAACCCTTTGAAAATGAACCAATAGGCTACGGTTGTTCGACCTGCTTATTTTACGATGAAGAACAGAAGATGGTATCTAATTATCGGGAGATACTGTCTCTGATCCTAGCCGCTTTGAAGTTAGATTTGCTGGTACTTTCCATTTTGATTTCGGTTCATACTTCAAATTTTTGAAGCTCTGGTTGCTTTGTGAGCATGTAAATGCAATGTGAGTGTGTGTGTATATGCGTGTGCGCATACACAAAGAAGCCAGAGGTTGATACCAGTCTTCCTAGATTATTCGCCTCATTTTTTCTTGAACAAGGTCTCTTTTCTCACTGAACCTAGCGCTCACTGATTCAGCTAGACTGCTTAGCCAGTGCACTCCTCCTGTCTTTGTTTCTACCCTGATGTTGGGTTTGCAAATGCCCAAAACCATGGTCATTTTTTAACTTGAGAACTAGAAATCCAAACCCATGTCTCCATGCTTGCACACCAGACCAGTTACTATCTGAGGTGTCTTGCAAGTCCTAATTATCTTACCATCTCCTCCCTTTGGTTTAAGGTGAACCAATGAATCACCCTTGTCTATATATTAAAGTCCCAAATTTAGTTCCGTGTTGAGTTGCCTCCACTGTCTACGTTCTGTTCATATAAGGTAGGATGAAAAGTCCAACCCTTAACAAACCCCAAGTTCTTCCTAAATCCTCTTTCTGAGTGTGCGATGTTAAAACATCAACAAATACATTTGTGTCTTTCCCCAATGTCAGAATTTATTGAGTAACAAGAAATTTACAAGGCACAACATTTCATTAGCAGCAATTTGCCTTTTACTTGATATTTATGGAAGAGGCAAGCACAAGTTTTTGTTGTTGTTTATTTCCAATCTGGATTAGTAATGTTAATTATCAAATTATATTTTATATGCCATGCAGTCCATCTATCTCTATATGAATATGTGTAAATTATAGCATAGTTGTAAAGGCTTAGGCAAAGAGTTTCAGAGGTCTAAGAGGCCAAAGCAGAGAACCTGGTAGTAAATTTCCACAGAATATCTCCAAGGTCAAAGAAGTCTGAAAACAAATAATAAAAATAACCTGTTTTTGCAAAATATAGTAACTTAGGGCAGGACCCAGGATGACCTCAACATTCAGCTGGTGAAGGCACTCATTGTCCATGATTACAGTTAAATGTCACTTTTCTCTCAGAATTTCCAGGACTGCCAAAGAAAGGGAAGGCCTTTGAAAATAGAAGCATTACATGTTCTACTATTGATTGGTGATGTGCTTACATCTCTATGAAGCAAAGCAGTCCTAACAACTGAATTTCTGGCTTTGCTTAGAATATGCTTCCTAGTATAGATCAGGCACATGGAAAAGAGTCCAATACCTTCATGCACAAAGAATACTATTATTGACCATCTGACCTTTTAGTCAAGAATTTAGAATAGCTCTTTTCTCCATCTGCTGGGTTTGTAATAAGGCTAATGAAATTGGCACTGAAGATTAGCAGAAAGAGGCACTTCCAAGTGTTTGGCACGTTTTCATTTTTAACTCCCTTCTCAGCAAGCCTTAGCTCATACTCTTTCCTAGAAAATGAGTACCGTGCCGCCTCTATCCAGCATTAAACTCTGGCTCCATTTTATACTGTCAGATAAAGGTAACTATTATGGCCAAAAGTACCCATTTATGTATTTTCCTATGCTTCATCTCATTTTAGAAACAAGCGAAAGCAATAGGTGATTAGACATATAACTCATAAATACGATACACTAAACAGTCCCTATCGGGAAGGATAACCCACTGGCAGATATAGTACTACTTTCACCTCCTGAATGCGCAGGATGGAAGCACATTACCAATGAACTCCACAAAGCATATTTAAGGGACCTTCAAGTAGAAAGTAATTCTGCAAACACAAATGTAGCTAGGTGTTTCCATGTTGCCTGCGTTTGTGAAGTAGTTCCATGAGCTATTAAAATCAAACTAGCTCTCATTCTAAGGAGCTCTCCTTGGCATAATCCCTTATTCTTCCTGCATCCTCAGGGAAACTAATCATCTAAAAAGAAAATAAATTATAGAAACACCTGTGTGTAAGAATAAGGTCAAACAATGGTATGGGCATTCTATATTTTAAGGTCTATGTAGACAAAATATAATTAAAAAGGGGAAGTTACAAAAACTAATGTCCTAACCACCCCTAACACCACAGAAGCCATTTATCAATAACAGCCGTTTTGCACAGCAAAAGCATCAGCACACCATTTTTGCCATTGCTGACCATAAAGTAGAATAACCTTTGTAATTCTTGCTCTGTTCATCTGAGCTCATACGCTCAATAAATACTTGTTGAAATTAAAATCCCAAATGATTTTGTGTGTTACCCAATAAGTGAGAGATGATTCATGTTAAAATGATGTTGCCTACAACATTAAAAATGTAAATGAATAATCAATTGAACTGTTAAATCGGAACCTAGAGAGTAAGTGGATCAACTGAGATCAATAAAAGCAGACATTTGGGGGGTTTAATAGTGCTTAACTCAGGGTTCTCTGGTATAGTAATTACCAAGCCATAAAAAGGAGGAAACAGCAAACCTGAAGGAAAAGAAAGGCCTTAGGTGTGCTCAGCACCCACCTCTACAACAGAATTAAGTACCTATTAAAGAACACTTTATTGGGATTTGTTTAGTAGGAGTTTGTTAAATAGCCTGAAGCCAGCACAGATGTCGTGGGACAAAATGCCCCATTCCTCCCATCCAAGTCAACAGGAGCAGCGTGAAAGTCTCTAAGGACAGCAGGCAGTTCACTCAAAACTTGCCAGCAGGATTCTGTCCTCTACAAGTTAAATTACAGAATGACTCTAGAGCATTATTAAGTAGAGTGATGTTTTGACATGCCTCACCTCTTCCCTCCTTCCTTCCCGGGTGCACACATCAGTCACCTGCCCCAAGTCTCCCATTCTGGGGCCATTGAGACATCCTGAGAACTTGCTGTACGTAGGACCACTCTCTGCTTCATTAGACTCCCGTGGAAGCCTGGCTTCTTTCCTTTAACACACAGCAGAAAGCTGGGAAGCTGAGCACCAAATGCAGCATAAAGTCTAGTCAGCGCTTTCTGCTTTCTCGGGGCGTAGTTCAACAAAATGCAGCCTCTGACAGTTATGTAGAACACAGAGTCGGCAACCTTTTTACATAAAGAGCAAATAGTGTGGAGCAGTCTGTTGGCCATATGGCTTGGACACAACTACTTTGCTGGCGTTCATTTACACTATGTAGATGAGTGGACATAGTATGTATTAATAACACTTTATTTATAAACGTATATATGCTTGACTAGACTTGGCCCTGGGCCTCTGGTTTGCTTGACATAAACTATAAAGGAGGAGGAGGGAAGTAGAAGAAGGGAGGGAAGGGGGAGAGACAGACAGACAGAAAAAAAGCAAACGTTTGTAAAAGCTGAGATTCATCCACATCTGTGAAGCTCTACACCTGGTCTTTCACTCTTTTTTTTTTTTTTCAAATAGAACATTGTTAACCTTTGCCTCATGAATTTTTTTCTCTCTGTGAATTTTTTCCAGGCAGCATCTTAGTTCACTTGACCAATTTTCTTCAGTGTAGGACAAAAGTGGGTGATATCTTTCCTTATCCATCAGAGGTCATGACTAACAATCTAATGATAAGAAAAAATTAGGAATATAAAGGAATAATGGATTTATTTAACCAGATTTTCACTTGATACAAGATCCTTCAGAATAAGCACTAAAAAACTCAGGGAAACCTAGGCTTCAGTGTGTGTGTGTGCGTGTGTGTGTGTGTATGTGTGTGTGTGTGTGTGTACGCATGCATGATGTATGTATGTACATACGAATGTGTGTGCAGTACAGGGGTACTGTACATAGCAGGCAAGTATTCTACCACTAAGCTCTTATTCGAGTCAGTAAAGCTTTGTCTCCCCTTAAACTGAGTTTGAATGGAAAATGGACACCAGTGCAGAATTGTGAATGGCCAAAAGTGATGTAATGGTGATAGAAATCGAAAATGTCCACTGCAGAGTGGGCTCTCTGTAGTGAATAAGCTGCACCAGAAACAATCATGCTTGCAATTTTACAATAAATTCAGAAGCTGCAACAATTATACTGTCTTTCACACGCTGAAGATCACTGCTCTTACTTGGCAGTGGCCATTGGCAGTCACAGAATCTTTTGCTGCAGTCTTAATCACTAACCTTAACTCATTTTATTTTGTTTTGTTTTGTTTTGTTTTGTTTTGAGATAAGGTTTCTGTGTAGCTTTGGAGCCTGTCCTGGAACTAGCTCTTGTAGACCAGGCTGGCCTTGAACTCACAGAATAACTCTTAGATCATAATTCACCATCACATAAATGTTACAAAATGGCACTGAAGGAGTGTAAAGGCTGCAAGGTTGGAAGAGGCCTCGCTGAGTGCACAGGCACAGAGCTGATAGGGATGCCAAGAGGCCCGTTACTGGTGATTAGATGGTAGAGAACTAAGCCATAGAGTCCTAAC